TCTGCTCTCCGCCGGCCCCCGCCTGCTCCCCGCCGGCCCCCCGGTGGCTCCCCGTGCCCTTCTTCCCAGCCAGCCACCTCCCGCTTCTGCCCACGCCCCGAATGTGCCGGGTCCCTCCTCCTCGGGAGTCCCTGTGCGAGTGGGATTTGCGCCCACTCTCCCTTCCCCTCAGGGCCAGGCAGTCCAGAAGCCAGGCCCCGGGGACGCCGGAACAGAGCCCTGCCTGTGACCAAAGCCCAGCACTAAGGCCCAGCCTGGAAGGGAGACAGGCCAGGGAGCTGGAAGACGTGTGGTGGCCCGTCCCTGGGATGCTGTTCCCGCCCCAGGGAACCCCTGCCCTGCGCAGAGGAGCCAGGTCTCCCTTCCCCTCAGGGCCAGGCAGTCCAGAAGCCAGGCCCCGGGGACGCCGGAACAGAGCCCTGCCTGTGACCAAAGCCCAGCACTAAGGCCCAGCCTGGAAGGGAGACAGGCCAGGGAGCTGGAAGACGTGTGGTGGCCCGTCCCTGGGATGCTGTTCCCGCCCCAGGGAACCCCTGCCCTGCGCAGAGGAGCCAGGAGCGTGCCATCCAAGCAGGGGCCCCTCCCCTCGGCCAGCTCCCCCCTGCCCGGCAGGGATGGGGCACACTGCCCCCAGGCTCCCGCGAGGGGAGAGGCACCCTGTCCCCAGGACCGCCCCACTGGGGAGCGGGAAGGGCCCGATGCCCTTGTCCCCGCCACGGACCGAGCGAGAGCCAGTGAGGGCCATACGCTGCAGCCAGGGAGCTATGGCCCCGCCAGGTCCGTCTGGGGCAGCTCTCCGGGCCCGAGCAGGGGTGGGCAGCTGCAGCACAGGCAGGAGGAACCAACCCCTCGGCCGTGACCCCAGCCCGGGCAGGCGAGAACGCTCACTACCTGCATCCGCAGGCGGGGAAGGGGAGGAGGCCCTGGCCCCAGGCTAGAAGGGGGGCAGGAGGCCACCGGACCAGCCCCCTCGCCCTGTCGGCCGCACACGTACGAACGGGAAGCGCCACCCGCCGGGGGGAGGGGGAACAGGACGGGGCTGGCTCAGGGCAATGCTGAGGGCGACGGTTAAACCGACTGTGCAGCCAGGCTGAGGGGGAATTGCCGGCCTGCAGCAAATCAGCACCCTGGGGAGGTCCCACCCTGCCCTGCCCTCCCCTCCAGCCCCGAGCAACTGCAGTTGCAGAAACAGATGGGCCCCTCGGGCTGGGAGCGGGGCCGGGCCGTTGGCACGGAGGGTTTTGGTGCAGGCCCACGGCCTCGCCTCGTGGGGATCGCAACGGTTCCAAGCCCGAAGGGGTTTAGAACGCCCGGGGGTGCGGGGAGGTCTGGACGCAGCCGCTAAATTTGCGGCGCTGCCTGGGCCCTCGCTCTCGCCAGGCAGGCCTCTCCGCTCACAAACAGCTCACAAGCACCACTTGTGGAGTCTTGGCTCACCCTGATTCCCAGGTCCAGGCCAGGGACCCGGCCAGGCGGAGGCTGGAACGTGGTCTGCAGGAGCCACGTGGCACAAAGGTAGCGCTGGAGCAGAGGCCCCCACTGACGCTGCGAAGCCGTGGCATGCAGGCCAAGCCGCACGGACCGCGGCTCTCTCCTCCAGCGTCCGAATGCCACAGCCGGGGAAGGGAAGAGCAGCCCACGTCAATCGAGCACTTCCTAGGGGTGCTCAGGTCACCACCCAGGGACAGGACGATGCCCTGCTCATGCTGCGACTGCCCACCCCAGCTCGGGCCCGGAGAGCTGCCCGGCGTCCCTGCCCCGGGGCGTGGGGAGGCGACGGGCCTGGGGGGCCATTGATCCCTGGCTGCAGCATGTGGCCGTCTCTGCCTCTCGCTCTGTCCACAGCAGGAGTCCAGGGCATCGGGCCCCTTCCCCCTCTGGGCGAAGGGCTGTGTGGGGCACTCCCAGAGACAGGGGGTCGCGCCCCTCTCAGGGGCGGGGGGACCCAGGCATCAGTCTCTGCCCTTCTTAGGGGTTCTTGCCCGGCTTGCGGCAGCTGCGTCCCCCATCAACGTCCCCTCAGCGTGGCCAAGCTCAGAGCGCCCTGGCAGGGCGTTAGGTCCCTGCTGAAAGCCCGAGGCGGAAGCTCTGGGCCCAGACGCCCATTCCCGGGAAAGTCCCTGGGGCGGCGGCGGAAGCCTGGCTCCAACACGGGGACCGACCGGCACCGGGATGCGTGGCCGGGTGGAGACACGTCTAGGGCCACCAAAAGGGATCTTCCGAGGTTACTCCTCAGTGCTCACAGGACTGGGCCTCGCAGTTGCACCACGGTGAGGGCTACAGCACCCTCCGCCCGCGTCCGCCAGGGCTTTATCCTGGCCCTGCCTCGCGGCGGAAGCCTGGCTCCAACACGGGGACCGACCGGCACCGGGATGCGTGGCCGGGTGGAGACACGTCTAGGGCCACCAAAAGGGATCTTCCGAGGTTACTCCTCAGTGCTCACAGGACTGGGCCTCGCAGTTGCACCACGGTGAGGGCTACAGCACCCTCCGCCCGCGTCCGCCAGGGCTTTATCCTGGCCCTGCCTCGTTTCCACAGCCGCGTGCGGCCATTGCAAGAGGCCGACGCAACGGCCTGTCTCGCCGTGCACTCAC